ATTGCGGAAGCACGATCGACGATGATTGAAACGATGCCGGTGTGCATTCCGCGTTAAAAACAACCTTCAGGACGAGCATTATTTTCAGTTTAAGGCTGGTTGGTGTGCAACGTCGAAAATTAGTAACTTTTACACCCAATGTCAGTAGCAAAATCGTCTATTCTGCCACGCGTATTACATCTGTTCCATCCCTCTTATTAAACATAATTCCATTTTACAAAATTATCCCGTGTTTAAGCTTTCTTTTGTCCGTCGCTGTATGTTTAACGCAACACTGGAAAAAGTTAATTCTTTGAAGCACGGAGGGTTAAAAAAAATGTTCCGCATTTTTAATAACCTGATACGCGTGTTGGAATGTTTTTCAAACCGCTTTGAAAAAAATTAAAGCGGCACGGGGCTACAAAGGTTATTTTTAACAGGACGCGTTTTGCAACAAGATGGCACTTTATTAGCTTTCACGCTCTTTGTCCTCGAAATTTTTTTTTTTTTTCCACCTCTGTATTACAAGTCAGATCAAGAAGTTTATTCCGTAGTTGATCATTCGATGTTCTGCGACCAGACGCTCGGCGACAAAATAAAATGAAAATAGAGAAACTCCAAAATTAAGTAATCTCGTTCCAAATGATCACAGTCGCGAACAGACCAAGATCCGTGATTCGGTGTTAGGTGGCTCGTAAAATGCGAGAAAAATACGTATCCAGAGTGACCCACATGAGATAGAAAATTGGACGGTTACACGCTGTCGACCTGACATCGAGGCGATGATTTATAAACAAAAACTTCGGGTTTGCAAATAGTTCGCTCGCGGAATTCAACCGCTGTAACAAACGACGACGTTAACGTTTCGAATCCCGTACGAGACACAGCGTGCCGTTTCTTTCGTAAAAGATTGCCGAACACAATGGAACGGAATCGGATCGTGGGTAATCAAATCGAAACGAGACACGTTCGAGCGCGTGAATTTTCCCGAGGAAAGAGAAAAAGAGAGGGAGAGAGAAAAAAAAGAAAGAAAGAAAAAAAGTGATCCGTTCTGTTTCGTAACGAGCCCGCCAACGGGACGGTTCACGTAATAAAACTTTTGCGACACGTTCCGGGGCGAATTGTTACGCGTGCTCGCGTAAATTTCTGAACTCGAAGGAACAAGAGCGCGAAACGGCGACGAAAAGAGAAAGGAGAGGCGACGAAGAGTGTGGTGAAGAGGGAAAGGAGAGGAGAGGAGAGGAGAGGAGAGAAAGAGAAACGAAGAGAAAAGGCCAAGTGGCGTCGATATGGCGACCTGAATTCCCAGGAGAAAAGGGAAATCAAAAAAGCAAAGAGTCGTTGCAAATCAGGGGACCCGAATGCTCGGCAGTCGCCGCTACGTGAACCCGCAGAACCGCCCTATTGTTCACGCCCGAACAATGCTGTCTTTGTCGCGATGTGATTAAGCTCTGAATAAATTTTCTATTACGCTGGTTCTACACCGGGCTTTCCTCCATTTTCGAATACTCGTTTTCTTTTCTGGTAACCGGACCGTGCTTTCGATTTTTATCTCGGCGGAATGCCGGACGCGCGAATAACCCAACCAAACCCAACCCAACCCAACCCAACGCGGGGAGCGAGAACGTACCGCGAATTAAACGAAGATTTTTTTTTTTTTCCCCCGCCATCGATCTCTCGTTTCGTTCTACTCGATTCCATCTCCTCCTCGCCGGGCGACGTACGCTATGTAAAAGTTACACGAAGTTTCGAACCGGACGGAATTGGAAGAACCGTCCATTATTTAGGAACGATCCAACTTTTTCTATTCCGCGAGAGTGTTCTCGATGGGCGGGGAGGAAAAAAAAAAAAGTCCTTACAACTTCGTGAGTAAGGAAACGCGGAAACAGAATGATCGATTCGCGGTTTACGATAATTATCCATAATCGAGAGGGACTGAACTTTATCATTTGACTTTGTCTCGTTTAATTTATTTATCTGTACGGCGATGAAAAGCCTTCGACACGAAGACGGATATAGACAGAGAACACAAAATAGCAGTTTAGAAACGTAAAGTATGTTAAATAGACGAATAGAAAAGAAATGAATACTAAATCGGTCTTGTTACAACAAATAACCAAAATGGACAAGTTAAAGCACCTATTTCTAAAAGATGTAGAGAAAAAAAATCGAAGAGTTGATTAAGTGAATTTGTTCCGCGTAATGGAACGCGTAAAAAACGGGGTAGGATATCTAAACTTTTTCTATTTGTAATAAATTTGCTTGTACACCGACTAGGAAGGCAAGCCTCTTATATCTCATGTACTAAAATTTACTTGTACATCGACTAGTAAGCTTCCTATTACATCGAACCTGAAACAGCTTAATGTTAACCCATCGAGAACCAATGTTACGTTAACGAAATATTTCACCTGTAGTTCTTTCCAACCAAGCTGCACCATCAGTGTTCTACTACTTTTTAACGTTGACACGAAGAAAGAAAATACTTACAATCTATGCAAATAAATCGGTACGTCTAGAATCTCTTTTAAAATAATTCTGAAAATATTTGTTAAATGTCTGACATTCACTGTATGCGTTAAATAAATAAATAAAATTTATATTTCTGTTGATTAGAACAATCCCATTGCAGTCACAAACGATTGCTTAATTTCTAACGAATTAATTCAATTTTAATAGAATGTCTAGTCAGACGTATCAGAAATAATACTCGAAAAGAGGTTCTCGTTGAAAAGGAGACACCGGAGGAGACACCAGACGAGGCAGATAGAGTTCGCAGAATGGAAACGGAGCCGGGCGTGTGTACTTTTGAATTTTCAGCTACGAGACATCTGGTATTAATTCTTCCACGTATGATGTCTTACATATGCCGCAAGGAATTCAGAATCCTGGGATCTCGGAATCTCATGTTCCACATATCCCCACATACCACACCGGCAGTCTGCAAGCTGCGCTTTGTAATTTCATCCTTCCGCTATCTTTTGTACTAAACCAGCGCGCGCGTTCACCTAAAACTTCCTAGGCAACCCTTTAGCGCAGCGTGCACAAAGTGCACAACCCTTTCGATTGATTTCACGTTATACACGCTTTGACCACTGAATCGAGTTAAATAAAAATTTCGATATTTTGTCTGGAAGCTATCTGCTGAAACGTTTGAAAGAAAAAAAGAAGAGAAAAAAGAAGAACGCATGTAGATACAAACGTATGTACGTCGAGATCTTTATGCACGGGTATTATGAGAATGTTAGAGCGCCGAGTGAAAAAGTCGATCGTGAATAGGGAGCGTCCGTTTGACGAAGAGCTTAATATAATATCTGATCCATCGTTTCCTTAACCTTCTGCAACAGCTTGAAAGTTACATACACGCAGATTCACCTTTTGAGAATTTTAATTTGCTCAGTTGCTTCACTATTGTATTTCGTCAATTGATATGTACACGAGTCAAGATCAAATAATACACTTTATATTACGAATTGGCACTAGACAATTGACATGATTTTGCAACTGAAAATCCGCAGTCTAATGATTAAGTATTATGTATGTTAAACAGAAAAGAGCCGAGAAAAAAAAGAGTCTTGTGTATCATCGTACGAAATTAACTAGCTTCATAATTCTATCAAACGTCATCGATCGTTATTTTAAAATCTCATCCCCAGGTTTTAAATTGGAGTAAATAACTAACTTAACTCGGTTAACTAACAATCTCCTCCACCCATGAGCAAACGAAATTATAAAGGATTAATCGGATGTCGTTGATAATAATTTATAATAATTGGAGTAAATGACTATGATTAACCGATAATCTTCCTCTTTCATAAATAAACGAAATACTGGTTACACAGGGTTAACTGTAAGATCTTCCACTTGATACTTACATACACACTCGACGAAGATTCTCGTATCATGGCTCAGCTGAACAAACACACGCGCGTAACAGCTTGGCTCGTCGTTACGTTAATTCGTTATTAAATCCCGGTTCGGTTCATTTACGTTTTAATAGTACACATTTGGGATCGACTGGGCTGGGTGAGACTAGCTTCGATAAAAACCATACGCGCGACACGAGGCTGTAATTAACAACCGGTATCCGTATGCACGTCCCGCGTTGTAAATAATACAACAATTCATGCTTTACACTGTTGCCACAGAGGCACACGAGACGATTACGTACTTTTCTTTTGTGAACAGGCACTGCGAAGTAAATACAACACACACCGAGCACCGGGGGCTGAATGTATGTAAAACCTTGAATCGAGGTTACAGTCGAGGTCGAGATCGGTCGATTAATGATACTCCTGTGTTGTATGTACTGTGTGTTTGCGATATTTTTTCAGTTACTTAGCTGCGGAAGCTAATGTCATCGGTCACGTTACTGTTTATCGTTCTTTGTCGCCTTCGATTTCGTCACGAAACGGGCCACGGTACAGCAAGGACAAGTCGAGCTAACGATGACAATGAACATCACGCTCGGCCAAGCTCGTTTCCTTCGAAAACTACGCGAGAAACACCTATCTAACGAGAGAGAGAGAGAGAGAGAGAGAAACGATACGAGAGTCGAATCGAAACAGGAAACGAACAGAACTGACTCCCCTCGTAGGAACGCGAATTCGATGAGACACGCGAGACGATTTCATTGGGCAATCTGAATTCAAGTTTCTACGTAAAAATACAATGGTTGTTCTATCTACCGATTGGCGTGCTGAAAGTTACCCCCGATACACAATAAAGATTTCAGATAGATTTCGCAAAACTTTCATGTCCTGCCTCAAACTGTACACGTATGTATGGCATAGGTGTGCCAACACGCGTGCACGTATTCATCCACGTTTATTACCTATTCAACGACGTATGCATATGTAAAAACGTATACAAGCGCGGGTGTTCGAACAAATATCATGTACGTGTACACACAGGCACGCGCGCGCGCGCACATACGCACACACAACTGTAACGCACGCAGTGACAGTGCACAAGAGGAGAAACAGAAACAAAAGTAAAAAAAAAAAATAAAATACACGTACCTGACAACATGTAATCCTCTGTTACTTGTCCGCTCTTCCCTCCGGAGGCATTTATCTGCATTATCTTCCTGGCGGACTTCTTGTAGTGACTACGTCTGATAAACTGGTTGCCACCCCCATCACGAACCAGCTACCGATCCTTGCGATACCATCCACCAAGAATACACTACACACTATTCTGCGCGAGGAATCTCCCCTTCTCTCTCCCCCTCCCTCTCTCCTCCTCCTCCTCCTCCTCCTCTTCCTCCCTTTCTCTTTCTCTTCTTCTATCCTTCTCTCTTTCACTCTGTCACTCTTTCTCTCTTTCTTCTTTGGCCTTCTTCCCGAGTTTCCTTTCTCTCTCTTTTTCTCGTTTTTCTTTACTTTTTCTCTTCCTTTTTCTTTTTTTTTTTTTATCAACGAATTTATTCTACTCGGTAGAGGCGATGCAGCGTGATACTCTTCTTGCTCTCCGAATGGGTTTACGGTCACGAAAACTGCGCAGAGTCACAGAGTCGCGCAAGATGAGAACGGCTCGATCGGATCGAGAACGAACAGGATCCAAAGTGTAGCGGAGTGAGAACACGTACGTCGATGCGATGTGGTGTTGAGAGAATGAGGGAAAGAGCGAAAGACGGACCGGTCAGTGACGGCGGTCGATAGGTGGTGACTTTCCAAGCCCGTCGAAAGTACCACGTTGATGAATAAGCATGTGAACGAACGACAGGGAAAAGACGAACCGGGACGATGGATGGGGAAACGTGCGACGGAGTGAGGAACGTACGTACGGCGTGCGATCACGTACGATCGGCCCGGGCGAAGAAAACGCGAATGTTTTGCAACGGTAGCGAATCGAACACGATCAGTCACGTTCGCCGGATGTAGCGCGAATAGAGGGTTGGTCTTGCGCGGCAGCGCGCTCACGCGGTCATCCGGTAAACTGACAGACCACCCCTGAAAGACCTCCGAACTATCAGCCTTCCCACCCTGCTCTTTTGCGGCTGCGCGTTCTCCTGAACTCGCTGTCTCTCACCCTGGTGTACCGATGTGCTCTACTTCTCCCACCAAACCGACTAGCGATGGCCCTTCGATATTCTCCCCCGTTGCAAGTTTTCGAGCAACTTGCTCCTACGAGAGGACCCGCGACTCTCGCCAATTTCCCTTGAATTTAACTTCGCATCGCTTCCACCACCCCCATCCTCCACCGCCACCCCCTTCCGCCCTCCGTCAGCCCGCCCTCCTCCATTAATACGATACACGGAGTCTAGTCTGCTTTCTGCGATCCTTTGTTGCTCGATGATAACGTAATAAGCGCGATTAGATTCGATTATCTAAAGCACCTGCATTATCTAGATTACCCAAAGTAGATTAGTCAAGTTGCACAGGGACAGAGAGGGTGTTTAACGAGAGTTGGAAAACGTTGTGCCGCGACTTCGCGTCATATCTTTGCCGGCGGGTACCGGCACTCATCCCTTATTTCCACGCCCCGTGAAAAATACCCCACCAGGCCAGCCACTGCGAAGGAAGCTCGATCGTATCTACCCTGTGACCCCGCATGCCAGCATTCCCTACTCCCCCTCCCCCGTTAAAAGGCTTTCCACTTTACTTCACTCCCGATTCTTCTTCGCTGACTCGGTCATCCTTCGGGAAAAGACTTTGCTTTCTGGAACACTTTGAAAATTGCCAGCCGCCCTGACGAGCCGAATCCGAACGAGATACCCACGAAACTTGAAACTTCCGAACCAACGATCGAACAACCGAATTACTCGCTACTTCATTGGCTCGATTTTCCTCGCCAATTACACGAAACACGAAACGACCGTGCTCGTGTACGTGTGATACGCTTTTTATTTCCTTTAGATTGATCGCTTCGTACATCGAAGATTCTTTTCGACTGGCGTTAGATAACGTTCCGTTTCTCATTAACGAAATTAGTAACTATATGGAATGTTAAAGTTTTATGCCCTTGAGTAAATTGAGCAGAGCAATGAACCGTGTTTAAACTTTCCTCGGGGTAAGGTATGTACGAGTAATGCTAGTAGTTAATTTCGCAAATAAATGCCGAGAGTGTTTCGTTTCTTGCCGCATTATTGAAATTCATTCAACTGTACTTTCTTTTCTTTTAAGCGCGATAGATAGAGCCACTGAAAATTTGACTCGCTTTGAATGCAATATGCAATACTTGAACGTCTCAGAGCTCCGAATGTTTCAGAAAATATACTGGTATATGTCACCAATTGATACAGATTGCAAAAAGAACGAATGAAACATAAAAATAGACTCGATGTGGATCCTTTGTCAGTTTCGTGTCACAAGCGACGTTATCGATTCAGTGTAAAATAAGATTACAATATTACTAGTGGTTGGAATGACAATTGAATATAGGTATCAAATTATAAATTATTTTTATAGATGAAATATCCTAATTATGAACCTAAACATCAGTTTGCACAATTTGTTATACAATCTATAATCAGTACCACTCACAACTACAAACAAACATATAAATATAGTAAAGTACAGACATTTTATGAAAGGGTATGTAGTTTGGTCTCATTGAATTTCCTCAAAAAAATTAAAAAAAAAAATAAAATTTATGAAACATTATATAGAATATAGCTCTCGTGTCTTGTCATTCCAAATCCTTCGATGCTTCCACTATTTAGTAAATCTGTAACAGACTTATATACGATATTATTAATAAAAAAATATCAAAAGCAATCGTAATATTCTATGTTCCAGTGGAAAAATTTGGGCATTTCATGAACGCAACACTACTTGAAAAACCGTGATCTTTCCTGAGCGGAATGCTAATTAGAAAAATAATTGCGATAAATGAATGTCGCAACATTAATTATTAAAATGAATTCAATAAAAATGATTAATCTTTATATGAAGAAAAAGTATTCTTGACTTCTATTATTCGCGATAGGTCATAATTACAAAACTGATGAAAAATTAATATTATCTCTAACATAGTTTCAAATATAAAAAAAATATATAGAATTTCAATATTATCTTTCAGAAATTGTAGCAATTAGTAATTAAAAACTTTTAAAAATAATCACTATGTGCAATGATAATTCATGATGCTAAAACAAGAATTATCATTATACCGCAACTCTAATTCAAACCGAACTTAACATTCCTCCGCAACTCTAATTGAAACGCGAAATTCAACTACTTCGTAACTATAGTTTAACTTAACGTTAATTATTCGCAACACTAATAAGATAGCCCGATTTGCCCAATATAGTGCTGGCCCGGACTGTCCATCAATCAAAACGTACAACTACTACTACTACTACAAGTAACTAAAAGCGAGCATAATGATGAAATAGTAACAAGAATGATTTGCTATGCTTTAAATGGATTTTCCATCCAGAGGATAACAAGCCATTGATAGTTGCCCTCTTCAATGGCAATTTGCCGGGCCTCTTCGGCTAATAGCCTCTTCTTGCTTCGGGCGCCATGCCCGCTGAAACTTAAATCTAGGCTCGAGTCTTTCTAATCGCAAAACAAAAAATAACCTACAAAGATGAAATAAAAAGGTAAATCGCGGAAGCTGATACAGTTACAAATGGACGACTATCGATCACAGTGATCGTTGTCCGTTCCTATGTGCGTGCTCGAGCAAACGCGAAATTTGGGAAATCAATAGGTGAAACCAGAGGCAAGTGATACATTCCACTCGTACCAGCTCTATCATTGATTTTTCAAATTGCGTTTTCTGAAACAGGTTGAATGCGCGAAAACGACCGTGCTCAATCGACCGACGACTACGTCAACCTGCTCAGTCCTACCTACTTATAATTAATACACACTCATACCAGAAACTACCTGCCTATCAAACCCCCCTCCCGCTATATTATATCGAAAGAATGGCAAAACACAGGCATACCAACACACTCATTCCGCGGTTCTCACACATACGCTCGGGCGCAAGACCTACACTAGGGAGAACGTCCCGGGACGCCTCCGACACCCGAGTTTAACATACAACTTTCACACTTTAATTTACGTACCATTTTCCTGAAATCGACTGACGATAGCTAGTGACCATTGCGTGAAACGGGATAAAAGTACGTTTCTAACACGCATGTGTTTTAAGAGTATGACGTTACATCGATATACGAGCATGATACCATTGTCATGATCTGAATATTACTTTTAAATTGGTACTGAAATTGTGTACTAATAAGAGTCGAAACGACGCAAATCCACAGCCTAACCACACACACACACACAATGTGGAGAATACGTCGTGCACGGTGTACTAATCATCGTCAATCGCTGAGAAATTATTAAGCTTATAAACTAGGGTCATCATGCCCATTGCCTTTCCCCCACCCAAGTAGCACCTGGGCACGTGAGTGAGGTCCTGGCATGAGCACGGAAAGGGTTAAA